ATTCGTGAGGATTTAAAAATCTTGAAGCGAACGATACTGTTTTCCAGTCGTTCCCGTGGAGTTGTTCGAGGGATGCACCTAACCCGTTATGTGAAGCGTCAGTTTTTACTCTCGTGGATCTTTTAACGTCGAAGTGAGTGTTTTCTGTAAGATTGACTATTTCTAATTTTATCTTATCGAACGCTTTTGTGTGGACTTCATTCCAAAAGAAAATTGACTTTTTGTTTAAAAGAGGTCTTAGCGGGCTTCCGAGGGATGCTAAATTTGGTACGAATTTGATGTACTGATTAGTTGACCCGAAGAATGATCTTAATTCCTTTAGAATTTTTGGAATTGGGATATCTTTAATCGCTTTGGTTTTATCAATTAGTGGAGCGATTCCCGATTTTGATATTTTGAAACCGAGCCATTCAATTTCTTTTTGGAAAAATTTGCATTTCGACCATTTAACTGCGAAATTGTAACTATCTAACGTTGATAAAATTTTATAGACAATTTTCTTGTGGTCGATAAAACTTCCTTTGGAAGCGACTAAAATGTCGTCAAGGTAACAACTTGTAAAAAGAATATTTCCCAGTGTTGAGTCCATGACTCTTTGAAACTCGTTTGGCATATCGCCGAGTCCGTAAAAACCGGTTAAGAATTGATATGTGCCCGTTATATCTCCGCCAACCAAACTAAAACTGCATTGACTGCTAGTAAAATTGTCTAACGAAAGTCTAACTATATGCATTCTTTAGATCTAGATTTGTGAACCACACTTCTCCGGTGGAGTTGTTGGAAAATTGAGCTACTACGTTATCCACTAATTCGTGTATGTTGGGCATCTGGTATTTGTTTTTGTAAATGTGTTGGTTAATAAATTTTGAATCTAAGGCTAGCTTTATTGATTTGTCCTTTTTACAAGTGATAACTATCGGACTAATAAATCTGTCCTTGTCGCAATTTTCTAAATTTTTGATATGTCCTGCAGATTTGAGTCTGCACAATTCTGTTTTTACTGAATCCAGTAAATGTAGTGGGACTCGCCTTCCTTTTAGTTGAATTGGCTTTAGTGGTTCGTGAAAGTGTGTTATTTTTGTTTGATTTTCGATTTTTCCAATCTGAAGGAATAGTTGTTTGAAAGTCTTGGAAATCATGTCTATTTCGTTCTCTTTGTCAAGTGATGTAATTGAATTGATAGACTTACAAGTTTTCTTGTTGGTGTGTAGTGGGTAGTATTTTTGTGAAACTTCAATTCCCCCTTTTGGCAAGTTGTCGTTCCCCAAGATGTTTCTTTCATGTCCTTGTGTTAGGAAGAAGTGGCATTCCTTATGAGACCATCCATTCGAGAAAATGGGAACGATTACTTTTCCAGTGATGTTTATTGCATTGTTCGTGAATCCGCAATAAAGTTCTTTAGTCGCTTGGTCCACTGGATATATCTTCACATAAGGGTCTCGTAACTTCAACTCGTGTAGAACGTTTTGTTTGAGGAAGCTCACGGGGCTAGCTGAATCCACCTGTATATTGAGAATTACTTGGTTTTCACTTCCTAAACCGATGTTTGGTAGTTTCTCCAATTCCTTTCCTTGATCGTCATAGATAGTTGTTACGTTTAATACAGAGTAATCATCGTTATCGTTCTGTCCGGACTCCGTCCATGCGTTGATTACTCCACAGCATTCTCTATTAACGTGGTCGTTTTTTACATCCGGTTGTTCCGAGGGATAATTACAATCTGTATTATTTACAATTTGACTATCCACAAAATTTACATTTTTACGGCGTGATTTACAGAGTCTAGTAAAATGTACTCGATATTTACAAGTCGTACAGGTCGTATCTTTTGCGGGGCAAACCGCCAGATGTCCTTTTGTAAAACTTCCGCCGCATTTCATACACGTCTTGTTCCTTTCGATATTTAGGGTGGGTTCTCTTTTTACATTAAAATGATTAAAAGATTTATTGGAAGAGTATCCGTTGGATTTAAAAGTACTCGTTATTTTGATGTGGTTTGTTATTCCTTTTTCATCGATCAATGCCACATTTAAAGCTTCTAGTGGAGGTAGGGTTTCCGTAAGAAGTTTCCGTTGAATGTCCGAGTTCTTCATATTATTGATAAATATATCTCGGATCCACTCGTCTTCTCCTGTGGGAATGTCACATCTTTTTGCCATTTCTGCTAATGCCCCCCAGAATTGTTCTAGCGATTCTCTGTCCCTCTGTTTTCTATTCAACAACTTGTGTCTTTCGAAAGTTATGTTTGTCTTTCTCACAAAGGCTATAGACAAATTTTCCCAAAATTCTTCGAAAGAAATTTGTAAAACTTTATCTCTCGTGAACTTTTGGCCGAATAATTTCTTTCCTTCGTTTCCAAGGGCTAAATAGAGTATGGATCTGAGTTTTTTGTCTGCCTCTTCTAGTCTCATGCCGTTAAATTTCTTGGTTTCTGACTTAATTGAGGCCATTTCTTCATCGTCGAACCTTTTTTGCTCGCGGATATTTCTCTCAATGCGAGATGTTTTTTGAGCATCTGATTCGTTTTCCAATGGATTTTCTAGTGTTGGAGGGAGTGGATGATATCGTTCCGTTGGATTTAAGAGATTTTCGATATTGATGTTTTCCTTTGCGATTATTGCTAGTTGGAATAAGTCGCTCCACTCTTCCCAAGGAATTGGTGGGTCCACTGTGTGGTTTTGCCAGAATGAAGGTATACCTCTCACGTTTGATTCGTTACTGTTTGACTGCGCCATGATAAAATGTTTCTTTGTTACGGATAATTCTACTTAGTTACAAATAAGATATGTTTAAAAAGTGAATTAATCTTTGTATTAAAACATTAAAAACTGACTGAGATCATTCTCTCCGCCGGAGAGAATGAACATACCAAGGTCAAATATAAATTAACCAGTTAAAGTAATTTAAAACTAATTAAATGAAATAAGAAGAATGGTATGATTCGCAACATCGCACGAGGGCGTCGTGATAAGCAGAGCAGGAAAACGTACAGGAAAGCATAAATCTTGGTTCAATTTACGATATGAGCTGCCTGAGGTTATACAGGGCTCTGTCGGACCCGTGAACCTCGCTCCAAGCTTGCTGGATTGGGAACAGGTCGAAGACGTTATCGAAGCAGCGTTCTATAACCATGAATCCGACATGCACCATGAAGCTAAACAGAAAAAACTGCAGGCTTGGAAAGATCTGTACGTTTACGAGAAGATCCAAGAAGCAGGACAAACTGCGATTACGGTTAGATGGGTTTTGAGCACCAAAATTGACGGTACTTTAAAGGCAAGGCTGGTGGCCCGAGGCTTTCAAGACCCAGATGCCGAAAATGTGGTCAAAGACTCCCCAACTTGTGCCAGGGACACGTTCAGGTTGCTCTTAGCGCTCCACAGTTCGAGTTGAAAGAATGGGTCTCTGGAGCCCTGGATGTGAAAACTGCATTTTTACAGGGAGAAAATTTGAAGAGAAACGTTTTTCTAGTGCCTCCCGTAGAAGCAAACGCGCGCGGATTTGTGTGGAAGCTCAAAAAGTGCGTGTACGGCCTTGTGGACGGTCGACGCTGTTCGTACGGGCTAAAGGCGATGCTATTTGTTGTCAGCAAGTTTGATCCAGCTTTGTTTGTTCATAATTCCAAAAATGGGTCAATTAATCGGTTAATTGGAGCCCATTTTGATGATTTCTGGTACTCAGTTACGCCATTTTTCAAAGAAAACGTTGTTATCCAGCTGAGGAACGTTTTTATCATTGGAACTGAAACGCATCTACTTTGCGTTATCTGGGAGTATTTACCTCTGAGCATGACGGAGAATCCAAGATTGATATGGGAAAGTTTTTGACGACATTTGATGAAATATGCGTCAACCAGGGTGACAGCACCAGTAATCGAGAGCTCAGGACAGAAGAAAGTCAAAAGCAAGGGTGCTACTCGGCAAGTTGCAATGGGTGTCTGTACAAACTCGACCAGATATATCCTACACGTTGAGTGAAATAAGCGGAAAACTGTCTGCCACCGTCGCCGATGTTCTGGTTTTGAACAAGACAGTTAGACAACTGCACTTTTCCGGAGCCACTTTGTATTTTCCGAATTTGGGTAGTCCAGATGACTGGAGAATTGTGGTGTACTCTGATGCCTCACTTAATAAACATGCAGATGTTGAGAAAAAAGGTGTTTATGTCGTTTTTCTTATTAATTGTGTCAGAAACCGCTCTGCACTTATTTCTTGGCGCTCGCAGAAGCTCAAACGGATAGTACGAAGCACCCTCAGTGTCGAATGTATGGCCTGCATTGAAGGAATTGACACTGCTTTTCTCCTACAACAGATATTGAACGAAATCCTGTCTCAGAGAGGGCCAATTTTGGCTCTAACTGACAGCTACACGCTTGTCTCCTCAGTTTATTCAGCGAAAACGGTCACGACAAGCGTCTGGAGCAGTCGTGGTCGAGTGGGTTGGGCACATCTCTCTTAACACGAGGGTCATGCGTTCGAATCCCGCTTCGGTCACGGCTGGAGGGGTCCCAGTGTCATCCGCCTCCTCAAGGTGGGACCGGCTGCGGCAAAATGGATGACATCTCCCCCTCCCCCACGGTTGGTCCTGCACTGAGCAGGCCGGGGGCAAAAAAAAAAACGACAAGCGTCTGCGTGTAGATCTGGCTTATCTGCGTGGCTTCATGGCAGAAAAATGTGTTGAGCGACTAGCGTGGGTGAGTTGGAAGGTCAGTTGGCATACAGACTCACAAAAGCATCAAGAACCAACCGAGCAAAGCTCGTCGACGCGATTACAATTGGAACCTTAAAAATCCAATATATTGAAACTGTTTCTAATTTGATTAATAATTGACAAATCGGGTGCTACTTGACCGACACTCACAGAGCGGTGTAAGATTGTTAATATTGCCTCGTGAATGTGATGTGATGTAATAACAATTTCAGGTGGGGTTGAATATATCTTGTATCTTACGTTGTCTTCTTCAGGAGTACTAACTTGTGAAATGTAAGAAGACAACTTACGAGTGAGCCAGTCCAAAATTGGATGTGAAGAACTGGACGAAGATGATGATGATGATGACGATGATGACGCACTCTCTTCTCTCTGCTCACTAACTCTACTATCTTCTTCAACGTTACTTTTATTTTCAACTTCGGACGCTTTTCCATTCGAATGCACAACTTCATTATGAACAACTGCATCATCTGAGGAATCACTGTTACCGCTTGTGTCTTTCTCATAGTCTGGCTCACTCTCTCTTTCATTCTCTCGGCTCTTTTCACTTCCGTCGGTCGTTCTTGGTCTAGTACGAATGGGCTGCAACACTTCAGAGGGTTCATCTCCGGTTTGCACCTGCATGCAAAGAAATAGGAAAAATAAAGAGATTAAGAAAACTAATAAAAAAAATAAACGGATTCTCAAAGAAAAATATATTTGAATTTCAAGCATCTTTTATTACTGAAATTATGATAGAACTAACCCATTTGGAGAAAACTGGACTCAATTTGCCCTCAATTTAAAGAATTGCTTTCAAGTTAACTTCAAAAAAAATCAAATCCATTTTCCTAAAAAACCACACGGATTAGAAAAAAAAGTGAAAAATCAGAAAACGTTTTGAAAAAGTCTGAGCGATTTCTTTATTTACCGTATTCGTTAATATTAATTCACTGAGGGATCAATTTCAAATAATATTTTTGTAGAGAAACTATATCACAATTGTACCCAGCAATGTTTATCGTGTTACTACGACGTAAAACACTTCGCCTACCTTTGCACTCCCTGGCATCTGATCCGGAAGCAGTGCCATCTTCGCTTCTTCCACTTCTTCGCTTCTGTCACTGCTTCCTCCCTTTGATGATGATCGAGATGAATCTTTTTGTGGCACGTGGTCCTCGCCTTTGCTGTTTGATGTGTATTTGTGATACGCTTTCTCATACTTCGACATCTCGCTTTCATTTGAGCCATAATCTTAACAACACAGAAAATGATCAAAAACCTTATGTTCAAACAATTTGAGTAAAAATGATACTATTGCGCTTTCTCATTTGGATTATAAAAAACTGAAGGCATCTACACTAACTTTGCATGTAACAAATCGCAAAGCAAAAAGCCACATTATAAATCATATATTTCAAAAAATTGCGAGCTATATTGAGTTAAAAAATTATATTATTGTTTATATTAGAGTTGTAACTCTAAAATTATGTTAGAGTGTATATTATTGTGATTTTCTTTGAAACAAATAGCCTTTTTCGTTTCATTTGATGAATTAAAAACGCATCAACTGTGTTAATTTATCACTACTCGAATGTCAAAGCATGCTGTGAAGGTGCTCCAGAAGTCGCACCGAAATTTGCGCTTTAGGTTAGAAAAAAAGAAGGTTCGCATTAATGCATTAGCTTCGCAAGTGTATCACAGAGGCGAAGTTACACTTCGCATACACAAGCAAAAAATATTACCGATAACACTACTGGGAAAAACTGAATGAGTGAAACTTTGAGTCTACAAAACTTCTTTGAGTGTACAAAATTTCTGAAGTGACGCATGCCAATTATGACGCATTAGCATTACCAGTCAATTTGAAAAAAAATTGACACACTAACATGCCTCAATTTATAGAGCAGTCTTTGTAACAGTAATAACATTAAAAAAATTAAATATAATAGAAATGAATTTTTTTTTTTAATTTGAGATTTTTCAAGATAATCATCCCCCACGCGCCATATTAAGTACGGATTAAATCTCGGCTTACGCTTTAATAGCGCGAAATAAATCGCGCGTTAATTGTCCCAAATTGGCCCAACTGGCAATCTTTAAACCCCTATAACTTGACAAAAAAGGTCACAGGTGAAATATCTTTCCAAAATTAAGCAATACTTTTTGAATGATATTTTAAAAAATCCCGTCAAAAATGGCTAGTTAAAAAGTCGAAATTTGTCTGAAGAAAAAAAAATCACCCTGAGCGCAAATATTTCGTTACTTTCATTACAAAAGTCGAAACAAAAATAGTCTGTGTTAAAATCCTTAGCATTGGCTGTACTTAATAGCTGATTATTGATTAAAATGAACTTTTTCAAAATGAACACAGTTTATCGCAACAATATTTGCGTCGCAAATTTGTGTCGCAACAAAATTTGCGACTTAGGTTGGAAAAAAAAGATAGTTCATACTATAACACAAGATACAATAACAAGATATTAATAACTACCACCTATTCCTATTGCAATACAGGAGTTCCTTACAAGGTACAAAAATCGTTTAACCGTTGAATTACTCTCTTACAGGGAGGGAGAAAAATCTCTACTAGTTATCACAGGCGAGGGTCAGATATTGAGAGAAAGAGGCGAAGCAGAGCTTCGCACCACTTGCGAGATCAAACCAATATGATATTTTAATCTTGCGAAAAAAACCACATCTATTATAAACATCTCCAAAATTTGTCTCGAACAATCTTCAACTCGAGAAATAAATCGTCCAGCAACACAGCCACCGGCATTAAAAAAACATTTGTAAAACAATACACAAATGGCAACTGAGTAGAAAACACTTGATCAAACGTCAACTGCATCGAAAACAAAAAAAAATGTCATGAAAAAGTTCTAAAATCTAAAAAAAAGAAAACGTTATGCTCCTCTCCCTACTACGGAAACACACTAAAGAAAAATCTAAGTTTCTTTCGAGCAACGCAAAATTAGGTCACTAACCCAACAAGACTGCTCGTATACAGGGCAACGCCCTGAATGTTCCGACAGCCCCTTAATCCATATCGAATAGTTTTTGGAAGACGAAAATATTGAAAAACTATAAATTTTGGACAATAGGAAAAATCAATTGTAAAAATTTAAGCCATACGAAATTAATACGATGGATTAGCTAACCTCAATTCAATTTGGAACAATTTTGTTGTGCGGGATAATTCGCCATGCACAAAAAAATTCGTATTAGGCGTTCAGCATTATGAAGAAAAACTTCAAAGCGCGCCTAAGATTGTCTAGAGCATGACCAAATTGGCAATTTTCAAACTCCCTCAAACACCCTACGCAAAAGACGATGTAGGTAAAAATCTTTTTGAATTTGATTCCTGAGAGTCGATATCTTCAATGAATTATAAAAAAAAATGTTAAAAACTATTATTTCGATTGCTGAAAATTGACTGAATAAAAAAACACACTAAGCATAAATACTCCTTTTCTTCGAAAGTCGGAACAATAAAATATATGCCCAAACCATTTAGGCCGACCAAGGTTTTTCAGCGAAAATAAAAAAGAAAATCTGCACAGTCAGAGTTATTCAATTTACTGATTACAAAAATGAACCGGGACAGCTTTCATTTGCAACGAAAGAAACGTCGGCGAGGAAGCAACCGAGACGATAATACATAAGCAGATAAATGATAGACCAACAAATTTTTTGAAACTGACAATTTTCAGTTTTAAAAAAAAACAGATACTGACTGGATTCGAAAGTAGGCCCATAGACATACCAGACGTAGGTGTTACCTATAGGTCAAGTGTGCCGGAAATGCTAAACAGTGATTCAAGTGAGTTTGTCATTCTTTTTGTTATCCTTAATAACGTCTATACTCCGATGTGATAACGCCTGCTTATTTCAAGCGTAATAAGAAGAGCATGCCATCAAAAAATATGTAAAAAATCCGAGCAACGCTGATGCTGCTAAAAGGAACAAAAAAATTTTAAAATGTTTTTCCACTTTTTTCAAAAATGTAGGAGAGTTTGATTTGAAACTTTCGAAAAATATATTCAGAATTAAATCACAACAATTGACACGACTGGAAAGTAATAGAAAATCTGTAGGTAAACAAGCGATAGCGATTAAACAAGCTGAAAACTTACCGATTATTTTTGATAGCACTAGGAAAAACTCGAATCGCAGGATCTTTTGAGAGTAATGACTACGCTTACTATGCACCAAGCACGCAAGAGGCCAATATATGTAGAAAATGTGCGTAGTACATGAGAAATTTTTTTAACATTTCCATATTATGGTGAACGAATTTATTTACGGGAAAAGTCTAGTACCCGTTTGCACGAAACTGGCTAATCGCAACGGTCATCACAATTTCTAATTTGATTTATAAAACTATTACTGATATCTGAAAACAATGCAAACTAGTGGGAACTATAGGGCAGTGAAACTGACCTGAGTAGCAACCGAGTTCATCTGACTTGTCCTCGCAGTCCAAGTACCCATCACATGTGTAAGCTAGGGGCACACATTCGCCACTGGTTACACAACGGAACAGTGGGAAGCACTCTATAACCAGAAAACAATTATGAATTTAAAAATATATACTTCATTGTAACGAGTGAGTTTTGATAGAATTCACAATGCTTCTACATTTAAAAGGCACTAAAAATTAAAAAATAATTCGATCACAGATTGCCCATTTAAGATTTGCAGGGCAAGGAAAGAAGAGCAATAATTTTTCAAGGCATTTATTCACAAAGGGAGCAGTTCAGAGCAGACATTAAGAACGGTGTTTATGAAGCAACTGTTTTTCATGGATAATGGTTATTTATGAACATGGAAAATTCGATTCGTACCCCGTCGATGATTCTGTCTAACAACAGATGCAGCAGATGAACTTTTCTTCTTCGGGCTCCCTGGCTTGTCTTGTGAATAAACCCTGAATGCAGACACATACATGGGGTGGTTGTCCTCGAATTCACACACAGACGGTTGTTTGCAGTCGAACAGGACACAATTGGAGCTCTTCTTTGAGAACACGAATAGATTGCACCTAAAAATACGATGAATTCATTTTAACCAGGCACGCAAAAACAATTCTCTGCAAAGAGCTTAACAAGTTGCCGATTACAAGACAGTTGTTTTCATATAAAAAAAGTCAACAGACTGTTGCAAAGGAGTCAAGGAACGCAATGAAACAAAAAAAAATTGAGTTCGAATTTCAAAGTAAAAAATACACAGCTTTGAAGCTGCTCTTTGACTTTCCAGAAAAATTTAATAACGACCCTCTTTTGATAAAATTAACTCATTTTGAGAAAACTGAATCAAACAATAAGCTTTTAATTCCGCTGGGAAATCTGAAAACTAAAAAATCCACTTTGAAACTTAAAAAAAGATCGTTTTTTTGTGACTTTTACAAACTTGCTGTTCTGTGGAAGTAGTGGATTTTGCCTTCCTAAGAAATATAGTGAAATTGAAAAACCCTAAGGTCAAACCGCGAGATATCAAAACTGAGAGTGAACAAATTTTAGGACTTTTCCTGATAAAAAACAAACAAAAATCATCACGACTTGCTTCAATTTTGATACCAAACTCTGCCCAAATTTTTTGGATTTATCTGAGATAATTAGGTAAAATGCTCAGGCAATTACTTTCGCCTTTAGATCATTTCACTTTTCACTGCTTTCTCCATGATCAGGACAGGAAGAAAAAAATCCTCGATCTGTTAAACCTTCTCGTGTGTTGTTTTTGGCCAGCCCAAGTTTCTCATCGTGTTTATTCGACACTGTGACCCAGGGGCGGATTTAGGGGGTAATACTTGTGGAAAAACGAACTCTGACTAAAATATGATCAATATATGAACCATGTGAACTACATTATATAAAATGAACCAGTTCCCAGGCTGCAAAAAAATCGAAATTAGAAGTCAATCACGTTTTTCTTTATCTTTACACTTTTTCTGTTAGATAGTGGAGTCTGCCTTCCTTTCAACAAATGAAAAGAACTGAACTTTGAAAAAAAATCATAAGACAAACCGAGAAAAACTAAATTTGAGCGTGAACAAGTTTTGAAACTTCACAACCTTCATAAGAGTCTTCACAATGTTTAACGAATCTAAACCAGCAACATGATTTGATAAATGCAGCAAAGGGTATTTCAGGCTTTTGACAATTTCTCTTGTTACAAATAGATGCAAGTTTTTGAATTGAATTGTTACGAAAATTGATTTCATCTGAGTAATATCTCAAATGTTATTAACAAGCAGCATTGTAGTTTTAAACTTAATTGATTGTGTTAATTAAATAACTTTGGTGAATAACTTTTAACAATTAAAAAAAAACATTTGAATGCGCCAAAAGACCAGTAAAAACGGGTCGCTTTGGCTTACTTAGTCAAACAGCATTCCATGACTGTCAAGTCGTTTTTTCTTGAGGATCAACATCTTTTTAGTATCTATTTCTGTAATTGTTTTTTCCGTTACAAGCACTAGTTAGATGAATTTTAGCAGTTTGTAAACATATTTTAAAATATGATAAAAAAATCTTTACACCAAATTTTTGCGATTAACTTTTGAAACCAGGCTTGACCTACGATTATCAAGCCGGTGACTATTGTTTGAACAGTTTGATCAAACTCTCGAAGTTTCGCGTTGATTCTAATTCTTTTATTTATAGTTAATATTAAACCAAAAGCTGTAGCACCGAGAATTCAGAGTTTTTAAAGCAACTTTCTAGCATGAGATAGGAATCATTTTATAAATCGAAAATTGAATAGTAATTAAATTCTATTGGTGCCAAAAAGCATGAAAACAACTTCAACAATAAACAACTAAGACCACCGGAATCGGGCAAAATGTAACAAACATAGCCAACAGACATTTATCAAAGCGTAAACGACTGAAAGAAAATCCAAAAAAATTGTTGATTTAAAAAACAGCCAACAGACAAATGGAAAAGTGTAAAAAAAAACAAGGGAACCGAAAAAGAAACTGATTGACACTTTTTTCAATTTCCAAATTTTCAAGGAACAACTATATCACGTTGAAGTTCTTCTGATTTCAAATGGTGTTTATGATTTGCAATTTTTAGGTCAATTTAGGTCAAACTGAAAAAATGCCATTTTTACCCCCTCTAAAACGAAAATTGATCGTTGGTTCAATATCTTCTTTATTTGAGCTCAGGGCGTCGATATATTCAAAAGGGTACAAAAACTTTGCACAAGATGCGAGACTTGGATAAGAGAAAGCCTGGCACTACACTCGCATGCCTTTTAGCACTTTTATTATCTGAGTCCGTAATTTTTTCCAATTTGCAAATGAATTGAAGTCAACTACAAAAGAAAGAAGTCAAACAGCGAAAAATCACAGCAGAAACAGCTGGTAAAACTTTTCTGGAACAAAAACAAAAAACGACTTAAATAAGTTAAAACACTTCGTCCATTAACACCTAATAATACCTTTTCGTTTGCACACATGCGTCTCCGCACGCGTGGATGTCGTCGCTAGTAACCGATCTTGTATCCTGCTCTTTGGGGCTGAGTATAGTAGCATTGCGGGCCAGTGCTTGTTCTATTTTGAGGATGGAGTTGGGCAACACATGGAATCCAAGAGAGGACAGCGACTGAGGGGAGGAGGGGGAGTCTACTGACGGTCCACTTTGGTCACTCAATGTCACCTGAACAAATGATGACACATTTCTTTTAAATTCAATCAAACCGACACTCTCTACTTCCATCAAATGTTATAGCACTAAAAGTACTTCCAATAGCAGAAGAATTAATTTAACAAAGTTGTGTATTTTTTAGTATTAAATTGTAGTAACATTTTTTCTAAGCAGCTTATCAGCACCTTAAATGAATTATATCAACTTTTTATAAAACTAAAACAAGAACTGAAAGAAAGAAGCTTCCGTTTTTCAATCTCAACCTTTCAAAAACAATTCCTAGTAGCATGATACAAAAAAAATGAGACTGAATTAGAATCCTTTAACTACTCAGTTGAATTATTTATAGTTTTACAATTTACTTTAATTCATTTTCAAACCTTAACAAACTGCCACTTGCCTGCACCAAATGTGTAGATACCAAACAGATTGCAAGGACGATAGAAATAGCAGACGAAGAATAGAAAAAGCCGAAACAAGGGCACCTGTGACGAGATAGAAAAGGAGCCATCATAAGTACATTGTGGTTTCGTTCCCCAAAGGGATAAATTAGCCTCCTCTACATCCAACCAAGGTCAGACAAAACGTCAGTTTACTATACCAATCATATAACTAGTCTAACAGTTTATTTCTCATGTGACCTGAAAAATCCAGAAATTAGACAGACAAGCTGAAAATAAAAACACAATGTTTGTTCAACTTATTTAGTGTTAACACGAACCTATATTTAACTAAATATTTATGCATAAAAGCCATATAAGTAGGACACAAGAATATTTTAAAATATTTATAGATATGAATAACGAAATAACGAGTTTGAAACTAACTGTTTCCATGAGACTTTAACTGTAATGACACTGCACAAGCGGATCACCAAATTATAAGGTGCTAACCAACTACGCATCAACCTGTTTTTTTTCTCTTCTTTGATGCACAGCTTCACACGCGCTTTTTCTACAGTCCTTTTTCGTTTCCAGACAGACGTTTAAAATAGCCTTTACTCGGACCTGATATTCTGGCACACTCTAACAGAGAAGCGCAAAAAATATTGAAATACAAGTCGAAATTTCAGAAGCTTGTCAGTTTTGCTCTATGATGATGTAACTAGCATCGCAACATTGCATAGAATTAACACGAACAATACAGCTACATCTATGTTCGAAAATCCAAGCAACAAATTTCTGATGTCATCGAAACAACTTCTTTTCTTCGACTTTCTAACAATTTCCGATTTTCTGACACCCCGATCGGTTCTTAACAGGGATTTATAAATTCCATTTTGTACATTTTTCCACTCGTTCGCTACGCTCACCAACTCACAACAAGTTATATCTGAGTAGTCAAATAGCCTTCGTTTCTTTCCCAAATCCAACTCGCTCCTCTCTCGATCTCCCAAAAGTCTTTCCGTCGCTTGGTCCAGTCCCATTAGCCTCTCATGTAACATCCGCATGTGAGTTAGAGATGCTTCTAATTTAGCTATCTGGGTTTCTGCTCTACATGCACCCTCTTTGCATCTAAAAGTTAGGTTAATTAACTGAATAAACCTTAGAAAAAATTATTCGTTCCGACCACGTCACGAAAAGACTGAAGGAATTAAAGCGTAAGTCCTTTTTCCGCTCAAAAAAACAAGGTCCGGCCGGTACTCGATCAGCAGACCTTAGCACAGACGACGTGCTACCTTTAGACCAAGTGAGATCGAACCTTCAGGTTCAATAATAAAGCAAGTAAAAATAAGTAAAATTTGTAAGAAAATTTGTTTAAAAGTCACAGAAAAAAATAGCAGGAAAAAAAGTCCAGTTCCCGATTATAAGACACTTGCTCTCGGAAGGGTAATTATTTTACCTTGATAGGAGACATTCGAAATATTCGAAATGTAAGACTCATTTCTTAAGTTTGATTGATATCAAAACTGTAGACGGAACTTTCTGTGCCTCATACAAAATCATTTGGTTCCTTCAAACAACAGGCTCTGTTTGGTGCAACATCTAATTGCCAAACTTGGCGTGAAAAAATTTGATTTGCTATTAAATAACTTAACAATTTTCAGTTTTCATAATTTCGCCATGTTTAGTTTCTTTAATTTTGTTTTGAGTTGTTGCAACTGACCTCTGCTACAGCTCTTTATTATTTTTATTTCTCCATTTTTTCATGCCTCATTACTTTTATAATACAAACATCTTTTCGACCTTTCAACTTTCAGAACTGAAATTAGAAAGATCATAAAGAAAATCAATACGCCAAATTAATGAGATACTTCTGTTGCTTACATGAATTAATCCGAGGATCAAGACGAGAGAAAAAATGTATAATTTTCTTATTCATTATTATTTGATAATTACACCAAAAAACATGCTCTACAAAATTTTAAAGACAATGTAGCCCTACAAATGTGGATTTTTCCGATTTTGTAGAAAGTTTACAACTTCAGTGCTAACAAAAATAAGATCATTTCACACAAAAATTACCAGAGATGTTCCAAAATGAGGCTCTTTGAGTAAAATTCACGAATGGAGATCTAGGATGGCCACTTATCAATATGTTATGTTCATTTTCGATGAATTAAAAAAAGCGAGAAAGAAGATAACCGTAACAAAAATACGTACCTCATCCGTGTCTCGGCAATATCCAGTGTGTCCATAGTTTGAACGAACACTTCTTGATCCAAAGAAGCCTTCAATCTGACAGGATGTCCAAAATGATCCTCTTCAAAGCAAAACTTGCACAGCATTTGTTCACCTTCACAATTCATACATTGGAATTCTACTGGAAGAGGTGCGTGATATACACAAATAACCTCCATGCCTTTTTTCAGATATTTATCTTTGTTCGTTTGATTTTTGATTAAAGCCTTGTTTTCTGTGATATTTACATGCCCTCTTCTTACGGAGTCCAAAAATTCTCGGATTCCATACATCGGCGCCAGGCGTTCTAGGTCTATATGATAATTTCTATTGCAAAGAGCGCATTTCACATGCGTTATAGAGCCTGAACTCCTTTCTTCTTCGTCGATTTCCTCGTTATTTACTACCAGTTTACGCAAACATGATATTCGGTTTCCAGGTTCCAAATCAAATGAGCAACCTTCGATCTCTTCATTAGAGTGACGAGAGCCACAAAACAGGTGACCACATGGTAAAATGCGGGGATCTCTCAACACTTCTTTGCAGATGGCACATTCGACAGGCCTTAATGGCCAATCAGAGCTCAATACAGAATCTTCCATATAGTCCCAAAGACGATTTCCCAGAAGCAAACTCAACCAGCTCAATATTAAATATTCTGAATTTTTATCATCTATTACTGATTTGCATTTCCAACCTGAAATTATATTCAGGTCATTCAGTGATATATGCACCTGCCTGGCGGCCTAAATAGAGGATTAAATAACACCAATAAATATGGAAAAATGACCTCACATAAACAGCGTGAACCACCTTTTGGTAAAAGATAACATTAGTCACCTCATTTTGAAAACACAAAACATATCCAATTATATATCAACAAAAAATGGGATTGGCTACAAAATTTATTGCGAATTGAGCAACTTGTAGCAAAAAAATAATAATTTCGGCTCCTCTCTCACTCGGCGGTTAACTGATTTCTGCCCTGCAACTTCATCAATCCGCCCTCAAAAACTCTTGACCAAAACGTCAAGATGGATTCTGGTTTTGTCCTATCTGTTGACCATTCGTTTCTATCTTGTGCCATGGAGCCCATTCCATTATTCTGCTAATTCCCATGTAAGAGCTGCCTAGAACAAATCTATTATCAAAAAACAGTCACTGAACAGGAGGCTATTCTCATGCGCGAAATTTTTCAAACAATCATCTCAATCAACATCAAGCATACCAATATATTTTTTAAATTGTTGGTTAAAAACAAACTTCCTAACCTGCGATGAGTGAGGGAAACGCGACCTTCTGACCGAGAGTAATTTTTTTGCTCTTGGACAGAGTTCTCCAATGGAACAACAAATAGCCATTCAGCACAGCACACAATGTCACAGTCATCAATTTACACGCAGAACAGTCCAGCTGGTCCGCCTCTTTCAGCTCACCTCTCGTTTTCATTGCCTCACTTTCTTTCCTTTTTTGCTCTCGTATTAAATCTTATACTAAAGCAAGAACATATCTAAAAAATCGATAAAATAAGAAAATATACACAACGAACCTAACAAACAAGGAAAACTCTTTACAAGCTCTGGGACAAAAAAATGGAAAATTATATCGTTTTAAAGCTGAAAACAAAACAAATCTGGTTGCTGTGCAAATTGCACATGTTTTCCGAACACAGCCATCTTTTGAAAATGTTTTTTTTTGTCGAATGGAAGTGAGGGGGAATTTTAGCATTCGATACGCATTACTATAACCCAAAAAATTGCTTCGTATGGGTTCGGCTAATTTTTGAGATGAGGAAATTTCACCAACAACTAAAAAGCCAAAGAAATGAACAAAACTAAACCTCCTCAACTCAGATGCAACTGAAGTCTTGGAAAAAATTTACTTGGAAAAAATTTACAGCTATTTTAACTCCGTCGATTTTTCCTTTTGCAAAGAATAGGATTAGAGTATGGGAAACAAACTACATAGAACCACAAAAAAGACATAGCCGAATCCTAAAGGCTTAGTCTCAATGGTTATGAAAAAGATGGGAAACGCGCATCTGAAAATGTCACTTCTGTAACGGTAAACCCAAAAAAAATCAAAAACTAAGCCGACAACATTTCAGCCGAAAAAACATGTCGTTGCCACGATTCTGACAGTTTGTGGACACTCCGAATCTGAAAACTACAGGCAAAAAAGATTTTTAAAAAAATCAAGAAGCAAGAACTAAAGCAAGAAACAGGTGATCCAAACTTCGATCGAAGACCTCTATTTATGACATCAGCTGCTCGTCATTTTAACCAACTCCTCCCGCAGCCAATAAGCCGACACCCAATAAGGCAAAAAAACTACCAAAATTTTCGGCCAAAGAACACCTATCAAAAATGCTGACCAAACGCGACATACCACGGGACATGAATACGTACCTACATAAAAACCACGGGCGCACATTCACCATTTTTAATTTTCGCAATTCTGAGCAAAGTTTTAAACGGGAAGTTTTTTGTACCCGGTTGCAATACCCTTGGTAATCACAAGAGTAGCAAGCAAAACATCACCACCAGCGCTTTTCTTGTTTTAATCCCAGGTTCATGGAAAATCCACATAACAAAAACTGAGAAATTTCATTCATAACTAACATATATTGTTCTGTTTGATAAATGGAAAAATGTCGAGATCACAAAAAAGTCAAATCAACAAGAGTTGAGTCCGTTCAAACATACTCCAAGATCATCTCCCATCTTCAATGTTTCACAGGCGTTACGTGATCCAAACTTCGATCGAAGACCTCTATTTATGACATCAGCTGCTCGTCATTTTAACCAACTCCTCCCGCAGCTCCGCCAACCGTTCATTTCTAGTTTTCAGCTCAGCTCTGAGACGATGCAGTTCTTCTTTCGTTTCTCCTATATCTTCACTATTAGTGTTTATTCTATCATTTAGTTCTCTGTCCTGAACTTTAGACCCTAATCTAGACTCTCCGTTCTCCCTTTCACGACACGAGTCCCCCTGCCCCAAGAGGAAGTCCTGGGCCTGTTGTTTTTCATCCGGAAACAAGGATTTCAGTCTGGTTCCATTTGTCCGCACTACACGCAAGTGTCTGATCACGTGGTCCAACTGTTCTTTGAGCTTGCTCTGTTTCACCATGAACACATCAGTTGCGACTTCTTTGTCGCCTGGTGAACACACTTTTGCCACAGGTGTTTTCAAAAGCTGCACTGCACTTAAATACGCTTGATTGAGATGTACACACGACTGGTACCCCTGCTCGCATAGTGCAAAGACGTTCGGATCCGCAGCGACAGAGGCTTGTACAGATCCAAAAGTACTTGAATCGCCGCTTCCACTGTGTCCAGTTCTCCGTCTACTGGTATCTTGTTTGGAACCTTCGGGAATTTCAGCTCTGCTCGATTTACTCCATTCCATTTGTGACAGGAAATTGAGCTATACTCTGGCTGCAGTATTTTGACGACTGTCCCAAAGATTACGCTTTTCAACGAATACAATTAACATCTGAAAAATCATATATACCTGGAAATAAATGAAAACAATCAAACTTTATCGCGTATTTTTTTCTAATTAAAAAAAGCTGAAATTATTGAAAAGCGCCAAAAAACAAATGAGGAAATATTCGTTTAAATGCAATTTAAGTATACTTGGGAAGACTAAATTTCAAAAAAAACAGGGATCCTTTGTGAGGTGCTACATACATGGATGTCAATCATTTCAGTTGTTAACTATAATTATTTATATTCATGAGAGTTTCTCATTCACTACCAAGTGTGAGCAGGTACCTACCTGTCAATCAATCTGGGTCTGTCTGTATGTTGACCTCTAATTCAGTGTCTGGATTTAACGTAAGAAGCAAGTTGAATTAACTCTTGAAACCGTGTCGTTTTATCAACCCGAGTTATGGCGCAGTCAGCGGATGGAGGTGGAAAACCCCTTGGGGATTGAAGCATTTTGGCCTCCGAACCAGGCGGAGAAACAACTACTCTGGGAACAGTGGAAACAACGATTCCACTGTTCGATGGTGGCAAAACATGGACTAATTTCATGAAACTACTACTTCGATGCCGCCTTAACGGCAACGCAGATCGCTGCACTGGGGGATGTTGGAGGAAAACCAAGGGAAAAAGTGGAAAAAACGCTCATTTCCAATTTGTATCTATGTTTTGGACTTCAAAGGACATATCAGAATCGTGGGGAGTCCGAACGCCAGACTGGAATTGCTTCAAAAGCGATCAGCCAAACTTCACCCCGAAACACCGACAACGATGCCTAGCGAGATCCGTTACATGTAACTTCTGCAAGAAAGAGGGTCATTACGAGAAAACATGCAGGAGAAAAGATTGTCGCGACGGGACAATGATTACAAAGATTGTCGCGGGGGACAATCAGTAGGGCTTATCGAAGGGTATGAAATGTTTGAAGAGGAGGATACCCCCTGGGATGAAGTCAGTTCACAACACCCCACTTCCGTAGGATTTGTGAAAAGGGAGCTTCGCTGGTCATCAGAGAGCTTCGATGATTATATGGTAATGACAAAACGACGTAGGAGAGAAACACTATTGAAGATTGCCTGGCCAAAGTTAAAGATCAGCATAAATGGACATCTGGTGAATATTTGGATCGAGAGCGGATCACCAAAATCGATATCCACAATGAATGACATTAAGAAGACCCTGGGAAGAACCGGCATTGAGCTGAAGCAGAAGAACAGCGATGAGGACAAATTTTGGAACTTCAGCAACAATCGGATTAACTTTCTGGGGAAATTGGATGTGGAGTTGACATCATACGGATGAAGACCACATCAGAAGTCAGTCATCGGAGGAAACTGGCCGTCGATCGTGGGACGCGACCTCATGGGAAACTGAACCTACAACTCATGCAGACAAATCCAAAGAGAACAGTTATGAAAATCCAAAGGGCACAAGACATCGAACATGAACCCTTGGCAGAACATGATCCCTTGGCAACAGTATTTCAGTAAGCTATTCCCAAAACTTTTACAAGAACTAGTAAAATTAATATTTATAAGGTATGGGCGGACTTTTTCGAAAACCTCGTACCAATACATCTAAAAGGTCGAAGAGTGCCGGTAACACTCTAAGACAAGTGGATAAAGAGATCGGAAGAAAATTGCTTGCCCAAGGCCACAGAAAAACTTATTTCCGAGAAAAAACAAGGGGGCGTGTATTTTACCACGATGGATTAAACTTGTGTACGCGCAATTACTACTCAGTGAAGATACGAGCGTGCAACGTAACTTCTCACAAGTGGGTTGTCGGTCGACTGGTACGTACAGGTTCCGGATGAGAATTTACAAATTAACGTCAATGCCGGCCGATATCCAGAGGGTGGTGATGGACTCAATTTTGAACGAGTTTCCGAACGCTTTTATCGAGGATATATTGGTAACAACCACGGGAACCGAATATCTTTGATTGAGAAAGTCATTGAAACTCCCTAAGTTTGAATTCGTAAAGCTCGAATGCGAATGACTCGGACTCGGAATCACGGAAAACCGCGCCAATCAACGCACTTGGGCCCTCAAAGACCGCGAATCAATTAAAATCAATTGTGGGCTTAATTCACAGCCTCTACAAATACCTTCCAGCAATGGCAGAACTATCGGCACCACATAGACCGTTGTTAAGCAAAAAGAACATATGTAAATGGACTGAAGCGTATGAAAAAGCGTTTCA